GCTTAGTTAAAACTCGTTAAATATGTGGGAAAATTTTCTGTTCTGGATGAGATTTCAAATTTAAATTCAGAAAGTTCCGACAGCTCGATTAGTAATCCTGCAATTAAAACCCGCCAGCGTTGGGTCGGCGGTTCCATACGCATGTTCCTACTGATTAGACTTTACGATTGTGAGCCCACGTGTACGTACGCATAAAACAAATTCAACGTAGACTGCAGCTGATTACTACGGAAGACTAATCATACATATATTTATTCATTCATACATGTGTAGATGATATCATATATAGGCACCCAATTGAACAGCAGAGATGACAACGTGTTTACCTGGCTAAACATGTGTTGTCGTGTTGTTATGCATCTTGTGTTGTTGTGTTGTTTTGTCGTCATGCATGTTGGGCTGGTTGTTTTGTTGTGCGTGTTATGTTCGGCTTGGTGAGTTAGGAAATACGAAGTTGAACAAGTTTGTACACGTCTGCTGATGAATATCGTACATGCAACATAATGCACAATGCAACATAATGCACAATGCAACATAATGCACAATGCAACATAATGCACAATGCAACATAATGCACAATGCAACATAATGCACAATGCAATATAATGGAAAGTATGTATTTCTTCACATGAATAGCATAACGCTACGGTTGATGATGGAATGATCACTGCCTCAAGCAAATAATTTTTTCGTTGCATTGTCTCACTGTTGCCATTCGATGACTCATGATTTTGTTGATTTAATAGATTTGGTAGTTCGATTCCTTTGCTTAACTAAATGCTTTCCAGTACCGCTTCCAGATTCACTCAACTTTTTCAAATTCAAATTGTTTCAACTAAAAAATGAAATTCAAATATATATCAATAGCAAAATGTTATTTAACACGAAGCTTAACATGTTGATTCGAGCCATGTTTTTTATGTAGCAGACCAATCTTCCTTCCTCTCCCAATTAATTCCTCATCCCGTTCATCGCATGGATGATAAATCTGCAATTAATTCCATTCATTTGCTCGCTCGTCCGGCGGCATTGAATGAACACTGAGCATATGCTCCTATTTAATTAATAGGGCACATTACGTTCAAATTGAATTTCACGTAGATCTTTCGCATTGCATTTGCCTGCCTGTCTTTCGCACATCTGCACATCCGTCAGCTTCAGAAGTATGTTAAAATTTCGAAAATTTTTTTTGTAGGAAGTTTGTTTTGTTGAGCTCATAGGTTTCAAGTTTAAATTGATTTAACGAACAATTGTTATATGACACTCATAAATATTTAAGGTTTGATTTGGGGCTTCGTTAGCCGGTCAAAAAATTAAAATTTTCCAGTGTATGAGGATGATAATATTCAAATTAAACAAATTGTGTAAAAATAGAAATCAGCATGCAATGTACTGAGCACCTATACATATACACACAATCACAATCAGTTTTTAGAACATTCGCGCGCACAAAATTATCTACTGGATAACTTAACATGGTCGTCTGGGCCTCGTTCAAGCATATTTAGTCAAAGATAAAGAAAAATGGAAGCAAGGTAATTGAAAATATATTTGCCTCCGCGGAACCGAGTAATGTTATTAAAATTTTACGAATCGCTGCGCAGTTGCCGATATGAATCAGATGGACTGCCTCCTCTTGAATAGCTTGCAAACTACGTTCAGCTCTTTCAAACAAACATGTACATGCGGCTCTCTTTCTTTTTCACCACAAAACGTAAACAAATGTAACCACCTTCATCTAACCACCTCAACTCTATAAACTTCTGTTAAATGCATTTTTATTTTTTAGATTTAAATATGAAATCGATGTCCCTTCTAAGTATGCAGTTGACAAATAATTATGAACTGTAAATAAAACATATTTAAAATATCGAAAGAAAATAATCGCTAATTTAAGACTGACAAATCCTCTTCTATTCATGTTTTAAAAGCTGCAGTCCAAGATGTCCAAACTAAACCGGCTACTGAGACATTACTGACATAGTTTTTAATCAACTGTCGTCCTATTTAAACTTTAACTCCTTGCTACCTGTATCTCAATCTGGTTTCAGACCTGCTCACAGTACTGAAACTTCTTTACTCAAAATACACAATGATATCCTTCTCTCTAGTGACAATAGTAATCTTACTCTTCTTCTTGCTCTTGACTTTTCCTCGGCTTTTCATACTGTTGACCATACTATTCTCTTGAGACTGCTGCATCATTCTTTTAATATTACTGATTCTTGTCTATCTTGGTTTTCTTCTTATCTCTGTAATCGTTTTTCTTCTGTTGTTCTCAATAATTCTACTTCTAACTCCTCTACTCTTACTTTCGGGGTACCTCAGGGTTCTATCCTTGGCCCTCTTCTATTTATACTCTATACTTCTGAACTACCTCGTATTATTAATAACTTTTTTTTCTCTAGTCAACTATATGCTGATGATTCTTACATTTATACTTCCTTTCCTCCATCTAATCTCAATAGTGTTCTTCATAATTTATCTCTATGTTTTTCTTCAATTATTGCTTGGTCTAACTCTATGTGTCTTAAACTTAATCCTTCTAAGTTTGAATTAATTTGTTTTAATAAATCTAAACACTCTATTACTATTCCTCCTATTATCTTACCTAATTCTAAAACTCTTGATGTCTCTCATAAGTTTCGTAGTCTAGGTTTTATCTTTGATTCTACTATGTCTCTCTCTTCTCAGATTAATAGTGTTGCTAGAAGCTCTTACTTTCATCTACGTAAAATAAAAAAACTTTTGCCTTTTCTTGATGATCCTACTCTTCTCCTTCTTGTTACTTCGTTAGTCTTACCTAGGATTGATTATTGTAACTCGCTCTACTATGGTCTTCCTGACTCTATACTCTATCCTTTCAGTAAAGCTTTTAACTCTGCTGCTCGTCTAGTTGCTCGTGCCCCTTTCTTTTCTCATATATCTCCATATCTTGTTCTCTTGCACTGGCTACCTATAAAATATAGAATAATTTTTAAAATTTGCACGTTCATGTATAAGTCTCAATCTAAATTATTTCCTAAATATTTATTAGATATATTAATTGAACCTAAACGCCCCGGTTTACGATTGTCTTCTTCTTCTCGCTTTTTCTTAACTCGTGTTAAACACTCTTTTGCCAAATCTGCTTTTGCTTTTTCTGGTCCTTTTCTCTGGAACTCTCTACCTACTTCTCTGACTACTTCTCCATCACTTGCGAAGTTCAGAGCGGATCTCAAGACCTATCTGTTTTCAAAATTCATTGAGGAGCGCTGTTGAATATCGCAGAAATAGCGCTTTATAAGCTAATTGATTGATTGATTGATTGATACCTACTAACCTGTGAGTATAAGTAATCTAAATTTCCGTTATTTTATTACAAATATTTTCAGTTTTTAAAATCATCAAAATCAAGTGAATATTGGTTTGAAATAAAAACCAAAATCGATTATAAAGATATAGTTTCAAAGTAAAATCAAAAACAACAATAAAGTAGTTAAATAGTGATTTTAACTCATTTAAATTCAAATCATACGCAACACTGGTAATTTCACAGTATTTGACGAGGACATAAAAAGTATTCACGCGAATATGTTACCCACATATATGTAAGCATATTTTTATGTATATGCTAATATTGTATATATCAAAATAATCATACCATATTACTTATTATTACTAATTATTTAGATTACATATACAATATATATACATCATGCATCGCTTCATGTTTTACTCTGGATTATTCGGTCGTTGGTTTTTACAGCGTTTTAGCTCGTTTTTTGGCTATCTTTACTTCACTTTAATTTTTTATCTGTTACTGTTTTTTTTTTCGTTATATATTCTTCTTGCTGTCAATTTCGGTTAAAATATCAGCGTAATTTGGATATGATCTTGGTTAACAAATATTTCCGATAGATTTATTTGGAAAAGGGTATTTATGATTTTTGCAATCTTTTAGAATGTGCCGAATGTGTTGAATTGATAATTGATATTGATACTTTTTTTCCTCCATCTAATCTCAATAGTGTTATTCATAATCTATCTCTATGTTTTTCTTCAATTATCGACTTGGTCTGACTCTATGTGTCTTAAACTTAATCCTTCTTCTAAATTTGAATTAATTTGTTTTAATAAATCTAAACACTCTATTACTATTTCTCCTATGATCTTACCTGATTCTAAGACTCTTGATGTTTCTCACAAGTCTAGGTTTTATCTTTGATTCTAGTAGGTATGTCTCTTTCTTCTCATATCAATAGTGTTGCTAGTTCTTACTCTCATCTATGTAGAATGAAAAATCTTTGCCTTTTCTTGATGATCCTACTCTTTTCCTTCTTGTTACTTCGTTAGTCTTAACTAGGATTGATTATTGTAACTCGCTCTACTATGGTCTTTCTGATTCTATACTCTATCCTTTCAGTAAAGCTTTTAACTCTGCTGTTCGTTTAGTTGCTCGTGCACATTTCTTTTCTCATATATCTCCATATCTTGTTCTCTTGCACTGGCTACCTATAAAATATAGAATAATTTTTAAAATTTGCACATTTATGTAGAAGTCTCAATCTAAATTATTTCCTAAGTACTTATCAGATATATTAATTGAACCTAAACGCCCCCACTTACGAAGTTCAGAGAGGATCTCTAGACCCATCTGTTTGCAAAATTCATTGAGGAGCGCTGTTGAACATCGCGGAAATAGCGCTTTACAAGCTAATTGATTGATTGAATCGATTGATTAATTGATAGTCTTACTTTGATTACTTACTACTTTTACTTGATTACTTTTCATCGTTCATTCGTTCGTTCGTCGTTCGTTCACGGCGTTTTAGCTCGTTTTCCGGCTATCTTTAGGTCACTGGACTCTGTTACTCATTTTTTTTACATATATAGTTTTCAAAAAATCAATTCCGATTAAATTAAAAACTTAAGCACATTTTGGACCTGTTCTCGGTTGGAAATTGGAAGATGGTGCCTGCAGCATCCCTCCTATCACTCCATCTCTAAATTCCAATTTGTTTTTGTTTTCATCTGATTTAACTATCTAATAGTCATCTAATCACGGCTTTGTTAGTAATTTTATTTTAATTTCTTTCCTTCCATCAAGATGACCGCTTTTAATGGCTACTCATCTTTTGACGGCCTTGTCGGTTGGTTTTTTTTTTTAATATTTTATTTAATTAACTTGCTTTGTCTATTTTTTCATATTTACTATATTAATATTAATAATTAATGTATTAATAATATTTAATAGTTTGGTTAGTTTTATTATCTTTATTTTATTAAAAATTCAAAATGACAAAACAAAGAGAGACATAACCTCAGTCACAAGAAAAAAAAAGCAAATGACACTGAACTTAGAAGAAGAAAAGAGTTTTTTAATTATAATTATAATTAAAAACCTTATTGGATTTTATTTCTGTTATATTCAGTTATTGATTCATTATTTTTTAAAAAGTGTTCAGCTAGTTGCTAGCTAGATCAAACTTTTAATTTAATTTTGAATTGTTTGTGATATAAGAAGATAGTAAGTTAACTAATAGAAAATAATAGTAATAAAATAATTCATTATCATATAAAATTATTATAATACATATTATATAATATAATTATATAAATTATATTAAATTATTAATAATTTAATTATAATATAATTATAATAATTTATTTCATTTTCATATGACTGATTAAATATATATAAGAATAAGTAAATCTCAAGACTAGAATAACATGACATATTATATAAATAACCATAAGAAATCTAGAAATTGAAATGATCAATTTGATTTGGATTTTTGATTGACTACTTGATTTTGTTTTGTTTTTGTTTATCTTTTTCTTGTTTTTCTAGTGTTCTCATTATCTGTTTGTTTCTTTCTTTAATAAATAATTTTTTCATTGCAATTTCATATTTTAATTAATTTTTTGAAAGTCTTTCTTTAATTTCTATTTTAACTATAATTGTAATTTTAATTTATTTATTTTTAAGAGAAAACCATCTTTGAATCTA